TGCAGTTCCTGCTCATGTTCTCTCTTCTTGGGGCCTCTGTGGACCAGGGAGGGGCACCTTCCCATTCTCCCCCTGACTAGTGTTGAGCAAACCCAGTGGCCTGCGAGCAATTATGCTCATTGCCAAAGAAAGCATGAACAGGGAACTAACTCACAGACTCCAAGGAGCCTTCCAGAGCTATGGGGCAAACCTTCTTCACTCTTCAGACCCTCTGCTGACTCATTGGTGAACTGTGGGGCTTAACACCCATCTCTACAGGGGCTGCTGTGAAGATTAATTACAGGCCATGGTGCAGGGAAGAACAGTGCTTCACATAGTGTCATTGTCAGGAGCCTGTGGGCCACGCACAGCGCATGCTAAGCATGTTCATTCACATCTGCTGGGTGAAGGCTCCGAGAGACACCTGTCAAGCTCCTGGCACACAGCAGGCACTTGCTTCTACCAGGGAAGATAAGAACTCAGGCACACAGCGCACACACCATCACCGCCCACAGCACCGCCCACAGCACTATCCAAGTGAAATCAGAGGAAAGGCAGACTCCAGCAGGCATTTCGGAAGAGAAGAGCTCTTTCCCACAGGGCCTTGGCCTTTGTGCAGCGCTTAACGTGGGCTGAGCAGCAAATGTCAGGGCTGAGTGTGTATTTAACACAGGCAGAGGGAAGAAACCGTTGGTCTTTTAAGACACACTTAAAAAGCCTGATTTAGGAACAGACATTAAGTTTCAAAGACTAGAATCACGGAGGCTATAGCGGTGGAGGGCTGAAGTCAGTCAGATAATGAGACTCAGAGAACACCTCAGACCTCAGAAGCCCAATGCCATCTGGGTCATGGTGACTCTAGCCAGGATCCTCATTTGGGGAACCTTTCTTTGTCCTTTGTTTTCAGATCTTGCATGTGATGTCCTCCCTCTTTGGTTGGTGGTCAGAATTCAGAAGACCAGACCCAGCCCTCCAGCCTGGTCTCCCATAGGCAGTCACCCAGGGCAGTCACGGGCGGAGGGATCCAGAGGTCCCATCCAGCTTTGATGATTCTAAAGTGGAAGCAGGTGCCTGGGAGAGCTGTAGAGGATTGTCCTGCTAAGGTAAGACAGCCGTGGGAAGTCCTGGAGCCCTCTGAGCCCTTCCTACCTGGCAAATTCTGAATAACCCCCTAGTTCCTCTTAGTAGAACCTATTGGAGATGTGGCCCTCCCTACTGTACCAGCTGTTCATACATCAACAAGGCTGTGTTGGGGAATGTGGCTACCACTTTAGGATGGATACCATTCTCTGGGGAAAAAAGGTCACTGTTTATGGAAGAAGAGGTATAGCCTCCATACCTCCGGGTCTCCAGCAGCTAGAGACTAACAAAGTGAGAAAGTGTTCATCATGTTCCCTGCAGCGCCTGATAGATGGCCTCCACTAGGGGGCGATGTAGCCCAGGCAGGCAGTAGGCAATGCAGCCCTGGCCACTTCACAGACCCACCAATTTTTCTGTCTGCAGTCCTAGACACAGGACAATGCTCCAGAGGCTAGAGAGCCGAGCCTCCTCCACACAAGGGCTAGCTTGGCGATGCTGGCAGGACTTCGATTTCCAAGGTGTGGAAATATGGGAAATGTAGGAAACATGCAGATTCTCACCTTGCCTAACTGGCTCCCCACCCTGATGTACATAAATATCAGGAAAGCTTTCAAAATGTGATGTTTGGGCCTCCTTCAAGCTGACCAACCTGGGCACTGGGTCCCACGGTTCAGCCAGGACTGAGCTCCTCGCTCAGAACTTGGCACGGAGACTATACCCCTCATCACTGTGCACTGCTGACAGACCCTGGAATTCCAGGTGGTCTGACAGCCAGAGTCCGGTTGGTCCTTCATCCATCCATCGACACACTCATTCACTCACCTGGGTGTCTTTCTTTTCCATAGCTCTGTCCTGTACCCCGAGATGCCAGTGCCCACAAACGCAGATATATCTGGGGCTGGGAAGATGGCTCATTGGTTCAGAGGACCCGAGTCTGATTTCCATCACCTGAAATAGGTGGCTCACAACTCCCTGTAATTTCAGCCCCACCCACAGGATCTGACTCCCCTGGCCTCTGAGGGTACCTACATTTAGCACGCGCACACGCACGCGTGCACGCATGCACACACACTTAAAAACAGTATTTGTTGTTTTGAGACAGAGTTTCTCTATGTAACAGCTCTGGCTGCCCTGGAACTCACTTTGTAGACCAGGCTAGCCTTGAACTCGGGGTTAAAGGCACAGGTTACCATGCCAGGCTACAAATATGTTTTAAAGTGGACACATGAAGCACTAAGGTGGAAGAACCCCATCGGAACACGAGTTTTCTACTGAGCTCTTTTTGCAACCTCTTGGCCCTGTACCTGTCAGGAAAATATTTAAACAGTTCCCCAAATGCCCAGAGCTCTGCTCACTTCTGGATTCCTCTGGGTATCACATGCAGAAGTGGTATCCTAGTATGTCTGGGCCTAAGGTTCTTGAGCACCCCTGTCTGAAGGGGGAGCACTGGGTGACTGGGTGGCTACCTACAGTCTAGCCAGACACCCTAGGAGTCCAGGGTAGGGTAGAAGGGCAGGGCACAGTGGCTAACGGTCACTAAGCTGAGTCTATGCAATACATGACACCACTGTGTCATCATGGTCAACAGCAACATCGTGACCAGTCCCTTTTCCAGTGGAGGACATCAAAGTGGGGCTCTGGGAGACTAAGTCACTGTTGAGGTCACTGGGATCCACAGTACTGAAACCAAGACAATTTGGCATTGGAGTCTGTGCTCCTGTCCCCAGGCTCTGGAGCATCTTGTGTTCGTCTGTCCCGCACTGAGTGGGGTACTTGCTTTTCCTGTACACTGAGGATGGAGTTTCCTGCTGCTTGCCTACCCGCCTGGCAAGGAAGAGGGCAACCTGCCTTCTTTCAGGCCCCTAGATGCCAGGAAAAGTGACTTTGGGTCTAGCCTGAGAAGTTATTTCCTTAGGCCATAGGCCAGATCTGACACCTACTCAAAAACTGGGAGCAGGTCTAGAGACATGTGCTCTTCCAGGTAACCAGGCAGAGACAGCATCCCCAAGAGCCACTTCCACAGGGAATCAGGCTTCCTGAGGAAGGTTCCCACCTAGACTGTACCCACCAGTCACTGGCCCTGGATCAAGACTTCTCGAACCGACTGCTCCACCAGACTGGTGGTTCCCTTCCACAGGAGAGGAGACTGGGACTGGCAAGAATGACCCAGTGTGTGGGTAGCACAGTGTGTGGGTAGCACAGTGTGTGGGTAGCACAGTGTGTGGGTAGCACAGTGTGTGGGTAGCACAGTGTGTGGGTAGCACAGTGTGTGGGTAGCACAGTGTGTGGGTAGCACAGTGTGTGGGTAGCACAGTGTGTGGGTAGCACAGTGTGTGGGTAGCACAGTGTGTGGGTAGCACAGTGTGTGGGTAGCACAGTGTGTGGGTAGCACAGTGTGTGGGTAGCACAGTGTGTGGGTAGCACAGTGTGTGGGTAGCACAGTGTGTGGGTAGCACAGTGTGTGGGTAGCACAGTGTGTGGGTAGCACAGTGTGTGGGTAGCACAGTGTGTGGGTAGCACAGTGTGTGGGTAGCACAGTGTGTGGGTAGCACAGTGTGTGGGTAGCACAGTGTGTGGGTAGCACAGTGTGTGGGTAGCAGTGTGTGGGTAGCACAGTGTGTGGGTAGCACAGTGTGTGGGTAGCACAGTGTGTGGGTAGCACAGTGTGTGGGTAGCACAGTGTGTGGGTAGCACAGTGTGTGGGTAGCTCAGTGTGTGGGTAGCTCAGTGTGTGGGTAGCTCAGTGTGTGGGTAGCACAGTGTGTGGGTAGCACAGTGTGTGGGTAGCACAGTGTGTGGGTAGCACAGTGTGTGGGTAGCACAGTGTGTGGGTAGCACAGTGTGTGGGTAGCACAGTGTGTGGGTAGCACAGTGTGTGGGTAGCACAGTGTGTGGGTAGCACAGTGTGTGGGTAGCACAGTGTGTGGGTAGCTCAGCAAAACTTAAACCTCAGCCTTGGTGTTTATATACTGTGTCCCAGCCTCTTCTCAATGCCTGCCCTGATGCTGATAAACCACTCAGCCCTTCCTTTCAGAGGAGGAACCCCATCTTTGCATGCAACGCTGTGAACAAAAGTCTGACTTGGAGCTGCAGGATGGTGGGTGGCCCTAAACATAAACGCCACCACTCCTGGGCTACAGCCATTGCCCATGGACTCGTGGAGGTTCTGGAGGCCTTTCATGTTGTAGTGGCAGCAGGAGACGGGGGACCTTAAGCACCTCCTCGAGGCTTCCGTTATCCCAGTGTTCTCCATCACAGCCCGTGTCACATTGTCGGTGAGTGTAAGAAGAATGAGTATCACTGCTCCCTGTGTCCTGGCTGGCTGGGGCAGGTACAATGCGAGACAGGAGTGTTTCCTGAGAGAGAGAACGGAACAACACTTCCAACACTCCAGCCCTCTCCCTGGGTCAGTTCCAGTCCATCCTGCCTTCCCAGGCTGTGGAAATTTGTACCTCAGCCCAGAAGAATGAACTGCTGGCAGTCACCAGCATGGCTACTGGACCAGCCAATCAGATACTAGGACTGCCTCAGCCACCTCCAGGACAAAGAGCCAGCTGGGCCCCAGGGGCTGGACCAGAGGGGCCCAAGGGAGGGCCCTGTCTGAGACCTGTGCCCCAGGCGGCAGGCAGGAAGGGAGGTAGGGACAAACTGGTAGCTTGTAGAATGGGAGGCACGGGGTGGTGGAGAGAGCCCAGGCAGGGCCCCTGCACAGCAAGGCCATGCTGGTTCCCAGGCAGCCCCTAGGTTCCCTGACAGGGCAGTCTGTGCTCCCAGCAGACTGGAGCGAGCCTCACAGCCACGCCATCCAGGCATTCCCCTCCCCTCCTCCAGGTAGGCAAGGACTCTTGTGGAATCATTCTAGAATTTAGAGGCTGACTCATCTCTCAAAGAAGAAAAGCAATAATACAATGTGCAGTTAGAATTAGGCATATGACACACACCTTTAATAGCAGCACTCGGGAGGCAGAGGCAGGTGGATCTCTGAGTTTGAGGCCAGCCTGGTCTACATAGCGAGCTTGAGGACAGTCAGGACTACACAGAGAGACCCTGTCTCAAAAAGAGACCTGATCCCATTTCACAGATAAAGAAATTGAGGCTTAAAACAATGAAGGGTCATGATCTTTGATGAATAGCTATTTTGGGATTTGAATCCAGATATACTTAAAAGCTTTTTCCTTTCTTTGTCTTCCTGCCTAATCAGGGGGCAGCCTCTAAATCTTTTTAAAATTATTATTTTTGAGACAGGGTTTCTTATAGCCCAGACTGGCCTTGAAACTCACTATGTGGCTGAGAATGAACCCGAAGTCCTGATCTTCCTGCTTCCCCCTCCCAAAGGTGGAGTTTATGCACTGCTGCGGATGAGGCTTCATGCATGTTTGCAAGTGCTCTACTAACAGTGTGTGTGCATGAGCGGTGATCGAGCGCCAGCTGGAAGCCAGAGTTCTATTGCACGCTATGCACGTATTCCAGCCCTGAGACTCCCAACTCAGAGCCTTGGCTCCAGTTTTCAGACCTGGCTTTCCGCTTCTCTCAACTTCTGGGCTGACCCTCTCTGTCCAGTCTCACCTCCTACCATCACCCCACAGAGACATCTGGGGCTCCTGCAGTCCCACGGCCCTCGAGAATAAGGAAACCCCTAAATACAAACATATTTGCATGAAGACTCAGGGGTCTGTGACTGCAGTTAAAAGTGACAGGAGCACCTGCCACCAGCTTCCTGGGACATAAATGTCCCCACAGCCAGGTTGGTACCATTCAATGTTTATTTAGATACACATAAAAGAACCTTGTGGTTCAGACAGCTTGTGCTTTTTCCTTTGGTCACATATATATACACATACATATATATGTATAAGTATGTATATAATCATATACATACACATACATGCTTTTTATTTTTTTAAAAAAAGTCAACACATTACCAGTCCCCTACATGCTTTCTATACTAAGCAATATATACAGCTTATTATATATATGTGCATATATATAATATATATTTCAATAACTACATTCAAGTAATGAAACACAGGATTTACAGTTTCCCTCGGATGGCAAAGGGAAAGCAAATTCACAAACAGTTCACAGAAGGAGTACTGGGAGCCCAGGCAACAAGAGCCGAACCCTCTGAGGTGAGGAGGCAGCAGCAGCAAACACCCAGTCACCCGTGGCTGTCCACGGGCATGCGGATGCGGAACTAGGGCAGACTGGCCTGCTCTACTGGCGTGTAAAGCAGGTCGGGGAGCTCACTTGTCCAGGAGTTGCTCAAACTTGGGGTTTACGAAGGAGAAGCCACGGAAGGCTGCCTGGTCCATGGAGTCAATGAGGTTCTTATCACTGTAGGAAAGGCGGGGTTTCTCACTCAGGAACTCTTGGTCAAAGTTGCTGTAGTCTGCGGGGGATTTCTGTGAGGGAAGGCAGCAGAGGGTGAGGGTGACCGCCAGGGTATCTCCAAAGTCTGCCCTCACAGGCACAACAGGCACCCAGGCCTCTGAGGTCCTGGTCAGGGAAGCCAGGGCAGTCTACTCAGTCAGGAAAAAGGGTATCACTGGTGGCCTGAGGGCAGTCCCACCATTGGGTATTGCTAATTCCCCAAGGGATGAAGAAGGTAGGAGAGGAGCGAGGGGTTAGTAAAGACAGGGGGCACCCTTCAGGACAGGAGCCGGTGAACTCAGCCTGTAGGCCACATGTCTCCTGCTCTGTTTTTAAAGGGGCCTATAAGCTAAGAATAGCGTTTGCTATTTTTGTTTAGTTGGTTTTGGTGTTTTTGAAACAAAGTCTCATGTAGCCCAGGCTGCCTACAAATTCATGATCCTCCTGCCTCAGCCTCCCAAGTGCTGGCATCATCACCAAGCACCCCCACTCCCAGCTCTAGCCTCTATGATTTTAAACGGTTAGGGAAAAAAAATTAAAAGGCTATCCAATGTCACATGAAAATGAAGTCCAATGCAAATTTCTGTGCCCACAAATCGTTTTATACAGCCACACTCGTCAACACATGGAGTATGGCTGCACCGGGACTGCCTGGCCTGCAAAGCTCTAAATATTTATTCTCTGGCTGTTTATAAGACAAGTTCCTAATTCACTGCCCCAAAGGATTGGATGAGATAGGTCGCTGGTGACCCTTGGGCCAAACTGAGCTAGAAGGCACAAGCATTTAGCTAGTACTGGTTTTGTCTGGCAAATTGTTGGGAATCACATCCAGGGCCTCGTGTGCGTGTAGCAAGTGCTTCACGACTGAGCTACATTCCTAGCCCTCAGTGCTAGGCTTTGATAGACTCCGAAACAATATTTTTAACAGGGAAACTCAGATTTCTGGCTTCTTCTGGAAACTGGTAGATTAGGGGAGCCCTGGGTTCACTTCCTTTTTTCATCTTACCCTACACCACAGTCCCAGAGAGAAACGCTACTCTTTTATTTGCAGGAAAACAGTCTCAGAGATGTCAGGCCTTGCTGTGTGGTGAACCCATGATTTTTCTGCCTCCACTCCCTAAGGGCTGGGATTACAGTTATGTGCTACCATGCCTGGCTTTTGTTTTTTATTTTTACCTTTATTTGGGGAGGACACTGACATGCTAGGTGAGTACTCTGCCACTGAGCTAGCTACACTAGAGCCCTTGGGCTCAATTCCTATTAGGCCCACTCTTGGGGCCAAGAGCCCACTGCCTTACTCACATGCCTGCCCTGCCCCCAGTGGGGCATTACACCTGACTAGTGTGTGCAGGAAGAAACTTCTCTCTGTAGCAAGAGCTGGGCCAGCTTGTCACCCTGCCCCGGGAGCCTCTGAATATAAGATCCACAAAAGGAAATATAAGATATACACAGGAACTTATATAAACATAAGATCCACATAGGAAAGTGGCCTGCTGCTTCAAGGCACAAATGTGGGCATGTCACAGAGACTGCCCAGTGGGAACAGTGTGTCCCAGAAGAGGACAGAAAGCAAGCAAGATAAAGGCAGGCAGAAGACGCTGTGATCACAAAGGGATACTGTGCCCTAACTTCTCTTTTAAAAGACAGGACCATGCTGTGTATTCTGGCTTCAAGTTGAGAACCTCCGGTGTCCGCCTGAGTGTTAGGATCACACACGTACATCATCACAACCAGCAAATTCCAACTTCCCAGAGGTGCTATCCGCTCCCTATTCCAACCAGTCCAGTGGCCTCTGAGGACCTGGGACCTTGATGGAATCATCGCTCACTACCAGGAATGCCCTCTAGCTACGCTTTTGTCTGAAGACATCCCAAGCCCTACTAACACAGAGCAGTTCTTCCATGCAGTCTTTCAGACCACTCTGCTCCCTGCACCCCAGGCTCCTACTGATATACACTCCCAAAGCAACCCTAGATGTGTGCCCTGTGACATCTCCAGTATGGTTGTCTTCTATCAGACTGTCACCAGGTAGGGCTCCTCCAGCACTAGGGTGTTTTCTTACTTCACCAAAGCCCAGCACAGCGTTCTGTTCCAACAAGGACTCAGCACGTCCAATATCAATTGGAAAATGGATGTGATTCATAAGTAGATGGATGGAGGTGAAACCCCTAACTGTGGTGGCCAAGACATGGTTTCCAAAGCACAATGTATTGAAGAGTTTAGTTATAAGGTGGCTGACTTATGGTGGTGTGCACTTGTAAGAGGCCAGCGTAAGTGCAGGAGTCTGAGTCATACTGAACAATACAGTGAGGTCCTGTCTCCTGGTCCCTGGCCTCTTGGACAAGATCACGCTATGCATCCCCAGCTGACCTGCCACCACCACTACTGCCACCACTACACGACTTCTTTGTTGCTGTTCTGAAACAGGGTTCCCCTGCACACTCCTGGCCAGCTGAGAAGTAACTATGAAGACTGGGCTGGCCTCAGACTTGTGGTTACTCTCCTGCTTCTACCTTCCAAGTACTGGGATTAGAGGCATGCTCTATCAGGCCTGCCTGTTTCTGCCTCTTATTTGGTGGTGCAGAGGATCAAACCTATGGCTTTGTACACACTAGGTTAAGTGCTCTACCACTGAGCCATATTCTCCAGCTCACGACCCTGAGTCCACAGTTCCAAATGTCTGTGAATGACTGCCGGAGTCGGACTGGGGAGATTATGAGAACGCGAGAGCACAGGCTTGGTACAGCATGCCAGGGGAGAACAGGAAGCTGGTTTGTTGGGAAAGGAAAAGGGGCAAGTGTGGGAATGTTGCAGGAAGGGGGCAGGGCAAGGGCGGGACCAGGCTTGGAACAGGGGTGGGTGTCATACCACTTTGGGCTTGAAGGGTGGCTCCACCTTCCTCTTCTCCAGCAGGACCCAGTTGATAGTCTTGAAAAAGGGATGAAGTCTGATGTTTCCTGTCACTCCCAGCCTCTTGACTGGCTCCCTCTCGAACAGCTGCAATCCACAGGGGCCTCGGTCAGGACTCAAGGCCATGAGAAACTGGAGCTTTTGCAAACTGCTAGCAGATCAAGGGCTCCAAGGCCGGACAGGCTCAGCCCAGGAACTCTGGGGCTGAGGCTAAAGCTCTATGTTTTACTGACACTCGGTAGTCAGTCAGGTGCTGAGTGTTCCCAGTTTTTAGTGCTTCTACTAATTCTGAGGATGCGGAGAGGGAAGTTAAGTGACCCACCCAAGGTCACTAGCACTAGACAGACAGAGCCAGACTCAGCCTCAGGTCTGTCTGTCTCCCTCCGAACCCTTAGTCATCACACCCTGCTGATTCCAGACAGGAGGCCTAGAAAAGAGTGCCCTGGGAACAAGGACAGATCAAGACGTGGAATATGTCAGGCACGGAGTTGAGGGAGGCCCTATTCCAGAGACAGGATCTCCTGGAACCCCAAAGCCATGTGTCAGCCAGGCTTACCTTCTCCATGATGTCCTTGGATTCCTTGGTGATCCAGCGGGGATAGTGTGGTGTGTCCACCCGGATGGACTCAAAGAGTTCATCCTCATCATCACCATGGAAGGGCGACTGACCAATGAGCATCTCATAGAGAAGGACCCCAAAGGACCACCAGTCCACAGAGAATGTGTACTTCAGGCCCTGCAGGATCTGGGGGCAACAGTGGTCAGAGTAGGGAACCAGCCTTCATTGGGAAGCTTCCATGACTCTACCCTACCAAGGCTGATGGAGGAGGGTCATCTGTCTATGTGTTATTTCATTGGTTAATAAAGAAACTGCCTTGGCTTTTTGATAGGACAGCAGCTTAGATAGGGAGAGTAGGCCTAACAAAATGCTGGGAGGAAGAAGGCAGTGAGGCAGATGCTATAGCTTTCCTCTCCCGAGATGGACGCAAATTAGAATCTTCCCTGTAAGCCACCACCTCATGGTGCTACACACATTAAGAGATGTGGGTTAATCAAGATGTGAGAGTTAGCCAGTAGGAGGCTGAAACTAATGGGCCAGGCAGTGTTTAAATGAATACAATTTGTGTGTTGTTATTTCGGGTGTAAAGCTAGCCCTGCGGGTGGGACAAAAAGCAGGCCTGCTTGCCTCATCACTACACAAGGTAAACGCATAGTTGAGTGAGAGACATCTACTCACTTCAGGGGCAATGTAGTCAGGGGTGCCACAGAAGGTGCTGGCCCGGTTCTCCCCAAATATATTCTCTTTGCACATCCCAAAATCAGCTATCTTGATGTGGCCATCTCGGTCCAGCATCACATTGTCCAGCTTGAGGTCCCTGAGGAAAAAAAGGGACAGAAAATCCCTGGGTGCCAGTTCTAATCCTCCCTAGCCTTGCTGCTATACGCTGGATTTCAGCCCTGCAAGTCCACAGCTTTTCCTTGGAGCACAGAGAACACAGAGGAGAAGGTGAGTTCAGCATGCTAAACACAGGTGCCTTCTGGCAGCAGCCCTCTATGCTAAATGTGGGACACACGATATCCTACTTCCTGAAGCCTTGAGTGAAGTTCAGAGGTACTGACACCACTTGCCCCTTATCCCCTAACTGGCTGGCAGGTATGTCCCACCCCCTTCCCAGCTCTGGTTTATCTGACTCAACAAGGGTAGGGACCGTGTTGATTTCCCCATTAGTCATCTGAATGGGAACAGTAATAGAATGTACACACAGCATAAGGTGTATCCCGAACTTCAGCCACCAGACAGCCTCCAGTCATTCTAGGCATGGACAAGCAAACTGGAGTATGTATCTCATCCCACTTTTTATTTATTATTGTTATCTTTGATTTACACATTATGTATGTGTGTCTGTGGGTGGGTAAGTGCACATGAGTGTAGGTGCCTACAGAGGCCAGAAGGGGGCATCAGATCCCTAGAATGAGAGCTACAAGCAGTTGTGAGCCACTGGACATGGATGGCAAGAACCCAACCCTGCAAGGGAAGCAGGTTCTCTAAATTGTTATCTCTGCAGCTCCTCACTCCCACCCCAGAAAACTGGTTAGCACCAGTATTTGATACATACTGTCACATGGCTTGGTTTGGTTGGTTTTCTTTTCTTTTATGAGATAGGGTATCAATATACAGCCCAGGCTGATTTTTAATTCTTTTTTGTTTGAGACAAGGTCTCATTATGTAGCTCTGGATGTCCTATGTAGCCCAGGCTGGCCTCAAATTCACAGATATCTGCCTGCTTCTGCCTCCCAAGTGCTGGGATTACAGAGGTATAAAAACACAACTTGGCTCCACAGTTAGTTCCTGCCTGATAAATAGTTTAATGTCATCCCACATAGAGATACAGAGTGCAGGCTCGTCTGCATATGCTGAGCATAAAGTAGGGAGACTCTGTGCCTGCAGGGCTCCCCCCTTCCAAGAGCACTGAATATGGACAGTAAGCTCCCAGCTCCTAGAGCTGCACCAGCCTCAGCTGAAGGGGCAGAAAAATCCTTGTACCGAGTTAGGGGTTTAAGCAGATACTCAGCCAAACACTCACTCTAAGCAGTGCTGGAACTGTGATCAGGCTAGGCACCACCCTTCCCAGAAGTCTAGGGGCCCTAACACCACCAATACCTGTAAATGACGCCTTTGCTGTGTAGAAACTGTAGCCCACAGATGATCTCGGCCGCATAAAACCTGAGGAAGAGACAGTGATCCAGGCCTTTGCCCACCAGTCCCATCCCCTACCTCAGGACAGGAAATGCTATCAATAACTCTACTGACACCATGGACCCAACCAAGCACAGTCTTTATCAGGTGAGTGGAAGCTGGAAGTCCAGGCAGCAGATTGGAAGGGAAAGTTAGACAATGCTCTGTGGTAGGAGGGCACTTCTGTGACACGAGTGTGCAAACACAGGCCACTAGTTTAGGGGTATGCCCACTAGTTTAGGGGTATGCCCACTAGTTTAGGGGTATGCCCACTAGTTTAGGGGTATGCCCACTAGTTTAGGGGTATGCCCACTAGTTTAGGGGTATGCCCACTAGTTTAGGGGTATGCCCACTAGTTTAGGGGTATGCCCACTAGTTTAGGGGTATGCCCACTAGTTTAGGGGTATGCCCACTAGTTTAGGGGTATGCCCACTAGTTTAGGGGTATGCCCACTAGTTTAGGGGTATGCCCACTAGTTTAGGGGTATGCATAGGCTCGAAGGCATTACTATTGTAGTCTGGGAGCCACACACCAGGGTCTGTAAAGGGCACTATCCATTCTGCTGTTCTGCCTGAGGCCTAAAGAGAGGACAAGGGCCCAGAGGACCTGTGCTGGCCCCATAGCCAGAGCTTGCTTCCCACACAGTGTCCCAAGTGTCCCCAGTGCCAGCCCTGTCCTGACTCAAGCCTTTCCTGGGGAAGGAATAAAGGATAAAGGGCATTAGACTCAGCCAAAGAGGCATTAGACCTCTCCTCACACAGGGCCCTCACATACGTAGCACGGTAGAGTTCGAAGCGGCCTTTGTCCTGAATGTGGTACATCAGGTCACCCCCATTGAGGAACTCCATCACGAAGAACAGGTGGTCCTGGAGTGGGGTGGGGGTAAGCAGAGGTAAAGCTCATGGAGCCCCCACAGGAAGCAGGGGACATAGGACCTGGGCTGAGGGTAACAACTTAGGAGGTGTGACTGCAACAGACACAGCCCTGCCATGGGGGAAGACAGGGTTGGTTGGGCATGGGCAATGATGGGAAGGCCAGAAACCTTGGTCTGGAAGGTACAGATGAGGTGGGTGAGGAAGGGATTCTCCCAGGCGAGCGCCAGCACCCGCTTCTCCACCATGGTGCACTCCACATCATCGTCGATCAACACCACATCCTTCTTCAGGCATTTGATGGCGAAGTATTGGTCTTTGCCCTTTAGCTCTGCAAGCAGGACCTACCAAAGGGAAGGATGTTGAGCAACGGCCCTGAGGTTACCAGCACCCAGCCCCTGGTGCTCAACAGGAAAGCCCTGAGCCCTGGTCACAGGCTGCTCTCACCTTGCCAAAGCTGCCTTTGCCCAGCACTTTGTGGAACGTGAAGTTATCAATGTTGCAGCGGGTGCTACCCTCCCAGATCTTGCCATAGGTCCCATTGTTGTCTGTTAGAGAGACGGAGAGACTAAGGTCTCAGTCTACATGACTCCCTTCCCAGGGGTTAGGAGTAGGTGAGGCAAGGGTCTCAGAGAGGAGAGAAGGGGCTCACTCCCCATGGGTGGTACCTCTTCCCAGAACTTACTAGACAAAAAGACTTATTGGAATCCCAAGGGTGAGCTGGGGAAGGAGTTGGAGAGAAAGGGGCTCAGTACCTCATCTCAGGACTCACTCGGCATGAAAGACTGGCACCTTTCTTTGCACTGTTGGGGAATGGGAGATTTAATGGGGGTATTTGACCCAGCTTCACCTAGGGAATCATCTCCAGAGACTCCTGTCTTCTTCTCAAATCCCTGGTATATTCCAACAGTCTCTGATGGTCCTGAATCCAGCTTCCGTGAAGATCTCTAGGGAAAGGGCATAAGAAGAAAGCCAACTGGTAAGACGACTGTCAGAACTGCTAGCCCAGTGAGAGGATCCCCAATCACAATCCCCCCTTAATCCCAATGGCGTCAGAGGGGCAGAGCCCAGGACTCCCAGGACATACTCCTCCTTTCCCCTGGCCCTGAGATCTAAAAGGCACAGATTATAGGCAAAGGATTTTAGTGACTGAACCATACCTTCCTAAGCAATAATAAATTGTTTAATCTCCTATTTTCAAACATTTTTTACATTTATTTGTGCATGCGTGCAGCACATACACACACACGTGCATGTGCCACAGGACAACCTATGGGATGCTTCTCTCCTAGTCTATAGGTTCTACAGCAGGAACTCAGGCTGTCAGGCTGAGTGGAAAGAGCCTTTACCCATGAAACCTCCTGCTAGTCACTCATTTCATTTCTGCTCTAAAGTTTTACTATCCCTTAAGTTCCAGTCATAGGTAAATACATACACATCATGAGAACCCTTTTTTATATACCTAACACACACCGCACACTGTGCATTCATACTCCATACACATGTGCACCCATCATATATACTATGCATATACAACATAGACATGTATGCACTGCATACATACAACACACACACACCATGTAAACAAACCATATACACTATGCACATACAGCATATGTATATACATACCACATATTCTATATACCACCCACTCATAGATAACACATTCTGGACACACTACATACCAAATAAATACCACACACAAACACACACACCTTACACACAAGATACATATAAACACCACACAATATACCATATATGACACATATATAACACAGACCCTGTTCTTGTTCAAAATGTCCCAATGCTCAGCCCTGTAGTCACTGTCTCCCCTCATGTAAAGAACTGCCTGAATGAGGAATTTCCCAAGATGACAAGGCCACCTCTCTGTTCTGTCTCCCCTCATGTAAAGAACTGCCTGAATGAGGAATTTCCCAAGATGACAAGGCCACCTCTCTGTTCTGTCTCTCCTCATGTAAAGAACTGCCTGAATGAGGAATTTCCCAAGATGACAAGGCCACCTCTCTGTTATCTAAATTCATCTTACAGAAGCCTCACCTTAGAGTTCTCAGGCATTCTGTGAGCCCTGAGAGCCTCTGCTTGCATCACCCTAGGTCCAGACCCCAATGCCCCTGCCTACCTGGCTCACTTGGTTCAAGGCCTCAGCCAAGAGCTTCTGGTTGATGCCACACAAGTTGGCCACCTTCTCTCGGCACTTATGGTGCACATTCATGCCACAATCTGTAAGAGACGGAAGCAGAGCAACCAGTGTTAGGTCTCAGAAATGGGCAGGGAGGAAGAGAAAAGGGGAGGGGGCAGGGAGGGGAGGAGACAGAAGAACTTTTGGACTTCTGAGCTTCTTCTCAGGGATGAGAGCATCTGAAGCCATTGTGAGCATTCCGAATATTTCATGGTTTAAGTAAAGATAAAGAAAATATTTGGATGCAGTAACTCACACCCATAATCCCAGCAATTGGGAAGCTGAGATAGCAAGACTGTTCTGCATTTGAGGCAAGCTTCAGCTATACAGTTGCGGATTAGCCTGGGCTACAGAGATCCCGGTCAGAGAAAGAGAGGAGGAGAGAGATGGGGGAAAAAGAAAGGAGAAGGGAGGCAGGAAGGGAGAAAGAGAAAGGGTGTGAAGGAGAGAAAAGGGGGAGAAAAAGAGAGGGAGAGGGGAGGAAGAGGAGGGGACAGCGAGGGAGAGAGAATGGAAGCTAGTTACAATCCCTTTAACATCTGGGACAAGCGAGATAGGCCGCTTTCCTCAGGACCTTGAGACTCTCCTAAAGGGAAGCCTGGGACAAGGGAGTCTGGGAGCAGGGCCTGCTTGTGTGTGGCAAGCCTTGGTTAAGAACTTCCAGTGACTTCTCCTCAGTGAGTCCCTAACTGCACACTTGAGGATAAAGTTCAGGATGGAGACTTGAAGGGCAGTGGGGAGGGGTTCCTCCTAAATGAACGGTTCACCCCAAATGAAGTGTGGACAGATGAGAGTCCTTTGAAGTATCAGGGAAAGGGGTGAAGGTATCATGATGGGTGCTGGGGCTTAGGAGGTTGGGGGTAGCTGGGATCTGGGTAGCACACACCTTCACACTTTAACCCCTGCTTCACCAGTCCCCAGAGCAAGCTGCCACAGTGGTCACAGAAGGTGGGGCTCATGTAGTTGTAAACCTTGAACCGGTGTGGCATGTCAATGTTGAAGCGTTCTTTCTGGAACTGGAGGGGAAGGGTATTACAGGTCAGGGGTCACATGCCAGTTCTCCCCCAACCCTGTGCGTTGTCAGATTCATAACAGAGTTCCACTAAGGTCTGGGAAACCCAAAGGCCCAAAAAGGAAAGGAAGGCTAGGGCACCCACAGCCTCCTATCTAACCAATCCCCCAACCCCAAGGGCCCAGCTCACGATGGTGTCCCGGCTATTGGCAGCAGTGCCAGTGCAGCGGCCGATGATCTTGTCAATGCATTTCTTGTGGATGGCAGCGTTGCATTCTTGAAGGGGCGCAGACCCGGGACAGGGGAGGGGGGGTTACCAAGAGAGGCAGAGTCTGAGCTGGCACTGCTGGCCAAGCTCAGCCCTCTGCACAAAGCCAGCCTTCTCACTGGCCGCCCACACCCTCACCCTACACAGGCCTCAGCTCAGGGCTTCATTTTTCCCTCCTCCTGCCAGCCCTTCCAGAAAGAGCCTGGAAGGCATGGGGCAAGAGATGGGCCAATCTAAAGGGCTGTAGAAAATAGAGAAGGCTCAAGGACTCCTAGGGTGGGGTGGGGGGTGGGCAGAAGGGAGGATGTATAGGGGCCGGAGAGCCTCTCTTTCCCATTTCTTTATTTCAAGATAGCAAATAGCTAGTAAGTAAACTCTCTTTTACATGAACACATGACATGCCTCAGTACAAAGACACCTGTACATGCATACAAAGCTTGCATAATCACAACAATAGGCTTCTTTTATTAAACGCTCAGCAGCTGCTAAGCCCTTAAAACATAGCTTACATATTTCGTCCCAGTGGGCCTTCACACTTGGATCTATTAAGCCTAGCTTATGGACAAGGAAACAGAGGCACCTGGTCAGTGTGAAGAACTTGACCTCGCAGTGAACAAATGGTAGAGCAGCTTATGCTTGCCCACACCTGCAGTCTGCAAAGCCTGTTCCACACTGTGTGTCATGGTGAAAGGTGTGTTCACACCTGTGCATCAGAGATACTTGCATCCACAAGCACACAAAGTCAGGGGAGTGCTAGTGAAGATCTCACATCCACCCCTGAGGATAGAGACCTCGTGTGTGCCCGTGGCTGGTTTGGGGTTGGTTTCCGTGTAAATTCTACAATAGTCTATTTTTGGAAACAACCTGAGAACCTGCACAGAGTTGGGAAGGAATGCACAGAACTGGCTTTGGCAAGCTGCAACAAGCCAGCCTGGCACTCACCAACTCAAGCACACACACTCATGTACACAGGGCTCTTGTCCAGACACGCCATTCAGACCCAGGGATACAAACAACGGCACGTGCTTAAGCACACACATGCATGCATTGAGAGACTTACGTCTGCATTTGTAGCCTTGCTTGTTGAGGCCCCTGGAAGGCAAAGCCCCAGAAGAGTGAGTGAAGGTCGATACTCCAGTGAAGATACGCAGTCCCTTCCCTCCTGGGCCACCCCAGCAGGTGTTGCCACCCTCACCAGACAAATTCTTTACACACAGAGCAGAAGGTGGGTTGCCCAAAGAAGGTGGCAATGAATTCGTGGTTCTTAATGTAGTGGATTTTGGCCTGTTTAATGGCTCCACGGCGGTTCATGGTTGGGAACTTGGCCTCCTCTTCACTACGCATAGACTGTTTGCAATCTGTAAGCCATAGGGTGAAGTCAGCCCCAGGGTTCATGAAAGTCGCTCCCCCTGCAAACCTCCCAAGATGGTCCCAACATGTCCCCATGGGAGTTGCTTCCTTAGGTACCAGTGCAAAGTTTTCCCCTGACCTGGCAAATGCGCTTGCCCCTGCCCAGGTGGGGGGTCTTACCCCCATCCTCCAGGAAATACTGCACAGACATCAGCACCTTGGCCTGAGGCTGCAGGTCCAGCTGCAGGGGTGGGAGGGGGATGTCAAATCAGTGAGGGTGGGCCTGGCCTAGGTGAGACTCAGAACCCACCCCAAGGCCTCCCCCAAGGCCAAGGGGGGCCCTATAGCCTGGCCAGGCAGTGGCCAGGGAAGAGAGGGTGGGCAGGGAGGACAGGGTGGGGCCCCGCCCCACTATGCACTCAGGGTATTATTACATTTGGGGAAGTGAAAGGATTCAGCCCACACCCTGTTAGCCATGTGGTCCAGAGCAGCGTGGAGGGAAACTCCCACCCCATCCCCCTATGCACATGCAGACATCACACCACCATGCCTGAAACACCCACACTGTACTCTGGGACAGGTTCTGCACTAGCCCAGACCATCTACAGGGAAGGGCCTATGCCTCTATTCCAGGGGCATTTCCTCAGGGGGAGCACATGCCCATGGGCTCCTGTGTCTCTGCCTAACTGGCTAAGAATCTGAGCACTCTCTCTTCCATCTGAGTGTCTCCATTCCTCATTTAAGGCTGACCAGTGCTTCCAATGGTCACTAAGCCTTTTTAGTTTGGCTGCAGAAGCCTACAGGATTGTATTGGCACTGGCATTCTACTGCCACCAAGAAAACCAGACAGAATACTAGACAGATGCACGTGTCTAGAGTCCCAGCGAGAGCAGGTGAGTTGGGCAAGCTGCCGGCTTTCTTCTCTCACCTCTTTATTGCTAAGTAGCATGATGTTGGTCCCATGCCTGGCTAGACCTGTAATATCTTTGTTTTTAAGATGTATTTATTATGTGTAGAGTATTCTTCCTGCATGTACCTGCACACCAGAAGGAGGCACCAGAGCTCATTACAGATGGTTGTGAGCCACCATGTGGTTGTTGGGAATTGAACTCAGGACCTCTGATCCATCTCAATAATATCTTTAAAACACTCCCAAATAAAACAACAGGTACCTCTGAGTTCAAGGCCTGGCATTGAGTGGGAGCACATCACTTTATAGTGCATATCCTACCTTTCCAAAATTAACAGGTGGGGAAAAATAGTCACAGTAGTCACGATAATTTCCCTCAGCGCCTACAAGGTGTCACATTCTGCAGTGTCTCCATACTTGGCGCTGCTGGAGACTGAATCTATGGTTTTGTGCGTGCTAGACAAGCATTCTGCCACTGAGGTAATCCCCAAGTCTAATTTTACATTTTTAATTTTTGAGACAGGATCTCATTAGGTTACCCACCAGGTCTTAAAGCTGTGACCATCCTGCCTCAGCCTCCCAAGGACATAGGATTATGAAGTCAGGACAGCACAGCGGACTTGCAATAAAGCACTGTAGACTAGTGCTCGTTCAGCAAAGGGACCCAGAGGTGGGATGTCTTTACTCCTTTTAATGGAAGTATAGAGGCTCAGGGTTGAGGACCTGTTATGTCGGGGCTGGAGAGTCGTACTGGTAACTGGTACTGAGGTGTGCCCACTCACCAAGTTTCACCCCACAAGCACACATGCAGGACCACAGCACATGACCCTCTCACCCAGAACTCCGCCTTGCCATTGTTCTTCTTGCAGCGCTCAGCCAGTACTGACACGCCCACGGTCACCTCAGACAGTGGGTCTTCAGCTGCCCTCATCAGCACAATCTGGATGACACGGCCCTCGTAGATGTGGGCATCGAATGTTGACTTCCACTCAGGATACATGGTGGGCTTCTTCTGTACCAAGGTCTTCCCTCGCTCTGCAACCAGGGCCAGACAGACGACATCAGGCTAGGACTCAAGTCCTTCCTTCCCTCCTTATCCCTCATTGTCACACAACCTACTCTCTCCCCAGTCCTGAGGGTCTGCTCTGGCTCTCTAGCAAGCCTGCAGGGCACTCTGGCAGCCCACCCTCAGTGCTTCACTCCTGCTTTTCCCTCTCCTGTTACCCTTTGCTCAACCTCCATTTCAGCCTCTCTTTCTGTTACCCAGGGAACACATGGAAGCATGGCCACATGACAGCCAAGGACTGGTGGCAAGGAACATGGCCTGGCCTTGTCACGAGTCCCAGACAGAGACACGGGTCAAGGTAACCTCAGGTAACCACTAAGCCACAGCCACGATGGGATTGAGGACAAAGACAGTGACAGTGTTTCTAAACCTTCCTGCCATCAAGTGACCCTGATATTCAGAGACTTCCTGGAGGAAGAAGCAGCTCAGCTAGAACCTAATGGGTGTAGGCAGTAGCCGGCAGGGAGCAGAAGGTGAGACCAGAGTGAAGGAAGCATCCCCTGTAAGCCACCCTGACCCCAGGTTCCCTCAGAGGTGGGAGGGGGATGTCTCATCTCCTGTGACCTGCCCACCTATCCCTGTTGGGGGAAGAGGGCAAAGCCAAGTCAGTTCTGGAGCACAATAGCCTCAGTGTCCAACTCAGGCCCTAGCCCCAGCAGACATGTGGAAATCGTGGGATGAAACCTAAGACATAGGAGGCTCAATTCAACCAGTTTCAAACCCTGGAGAGAACTGGGTTGCTTCTGTCTTTCTGGTCCTCAGCTGGGTAGGTCAGAGGGATAAGAAGAATCTAGGTGAGAAGGTTCCATGTCTCTCTAGGGACTAGCTTCCAACACTACCTGTGCTGAGTGCCTCCTTCATCTTCACAGCACAGAAAGGCTGGCTTGCCTCATCCTCTGTCTGCAGCGAGCCCAGCTCATACGAGTTGAAGGAGATGCGCAGGAATGGCGCCATGGTGAAGCCTGCAGGGAGATTGTGCACATGATGGATCATGACGGCAAGACAGTAGAGCAGAGGCAGTGGAGACCACTGTTGGGGATACCTAGGCACCCACGTTCCACAGAGCTCACAGCACCTGAATGCCCACACGGTACACCAAATGCAATAAATAGTGCCAATGGGGAAAGCTGGGCAGTCTAACATTAAGTCTGGATGTGAGGCACCCTGGTAAAACTAAAAGGTGGAACACCAGACCCATTGGGTGACAGCCACTATGGTGACTGCTATTTTGTCAGTCTGCCAGGCCAGGGTGCTGTCCCCATTCCTGAAATGGACCCTGGAGACATTTGAGTAGTCTGTGATCCTGAAGCAATCATGTGGGAAGTCACTGAGTGCCCCTCTCATGGTCAGGGGCCTAAGCAAGCCAGGGATCCAGTATGTGCTGGGCCCCCCACAGTGTCAGCAATGCCCTCTTCTCGGCTGGGCTCACGAAAGCCCTCTTGATTCTCTGCTGCTTTTGCTCCTAACCACTCAAGCAAAGAAGCGTGGCCAAACTGAGTCCTGCTTCAGCAACCAAAGAAGCCCACTCTTAAGATGGGTAAACTGAGACCCAGACTGAGCCAGACTAGAAGGCTCTACCAACTCTACCCTGACTTGGTTCAGCACACCGCACCCTTCTGAACACAAGCCCCTTGGGTCACATGCCTCCTACCTATTTAGATTTCCTGTCTTTTCAAACTGAGAACGGAGACAGCAACCAAGATCCCTTCCAGGCAGGTAAGGAGGTACGAAAGAGACACGGTGGGGGGATGTGGGAAAGGGGTGCAGTTTCACATTTTCTTCCAAATCTAAAACTATATTTTAATGTTGACTATAATATACAAAGATGGACTCATGATCCCCTTACACACACACACACACACACACACACACACACACACACACACACCACAAACAAAACCACCACCAAAACTCAGTTGCCCAGCATGAGGCAGCTCCCTCCATCTCCTCAGCAGGGCCATCAGAGCAGCAGCCAGGTCTGCCCAGAGCTCCCAGTCCAGATGAGCTCAACAGGAAACATTGACCAGCCCAGAGTGCCCAGCCAGAGTTTAGGGCCCACGCCAGAGCAGACAGACTAAAGAGGCCGATTCCACCAAATGCTGCCCGGGTCTGGCTCCTACTCAGTAAAAGGCAGAGCAGGTGTGCAGTCTCAGCCTGTGCCCCTGCCCCCAGTCTCTGACCTGAAACCAGCAGGTGGGCAAATGCTGAGCACTGAACCGGAGGGAAGAAAAAAGAAGCTGCTGTGGGCTCCTGGCCTGGAGTATGCATGAGCATGGGCTTGCAGGGCGACAGATCAGTAAGAATAAGAGGGCCTTAGTGTGCTCTCCGTGGCTAGGATAGACACCACCACCAAAGCAGCTTGAGTAGCTTGTTTCATCTTACAGTCTACAGTCCATCATAAAGTGCAGGAGTGTGGAGACCAAGCTGTTTCCTGGCTTGCTTTACAGGCCATCAGCTGCCTTTCTTGAATTTTGTTTTTTGTTGTTGTTGTTTGTTTTGTCTTTTTGCTTTTTAGAGACAGGTTTCTCTATGTAGCTTTGGAGCCTGTCCTGGAACTTGCTTTGTAGAGGCTGGCCTCGAACTCACAGAGATCTACCTTTCTCTGCCTGAGTGCTGGGATTAAAGGCGTGCGCCACCACACCAAGCTCAGCTGCCTTTCTTACACCTCGCAGGACCACCTGCTCCGCAGTGGCACTGCCTGCAGTCAACCGAGCTCTCCTACATCCATCAAGAAAATGCTCTACAGACTTGCCTGTAGGCCAATCTGATGGAGGTGTTTTCTCAGCGGGGTTCCCCCCCCCCCCAGCTTGGGTTAAGCTCACAAAAAGCTAACCAGCACAAGGACAGTCATAGAAGGAGTGCATGTGTGAGGCCCTGTGGGAATAAGATACGATGGGAGGTCAGTAGATGGTGGCGTGAAAAGCAAGATACAGAGGACTGGCATTGGTCACATGTAGGAATCTTGGACAGATGCCCCAAATCCCCAAGGAAAAAAGACATCTTGGACCTCCTACTGACCTCAGAGTCTAAGGCATCAAGTGTCCCAGTGAGTGCTTTCAGGGTCTGAAGTAAGAAACAGGACCCCTCCTAGCACACACTTGCCCTAGGCCACGTACCAAAGGCCAAATCACAGCAGGCCCAAGTCTCAGTGAGATCACCAGGAAGAAGGCAGGGTAGTGAGCAGCTGGCTTCATACTTCAGAGAGTAAAGCTGAACAGGCATAGAAAAAATAAGAGAAGGGGCTTAGGCTCCTCAGGGACATGAGATTAGAGCCATCCCAGTGGCAAATGGTAAGGCTGGCTAGACACAGGTCCTTGACACCAGTGCTGTCTTGGCTGTGTGGCTATGCAGGCCTTCTGAGTTTCTGCAGCCTTCTACTCCAGGTGAGGGCTGTCCCTGGTCTCTAGGTTGTGCTCATGAGAAGCCCACTAGGATAAGAGCCAGCATCAGCCTGACAGGCCCTGGACACGCCCCTTTGTTAATGCTACCCCCATGCCCTATGGGACACCCTCTCTAAGTCTGCTCATGTACCCTACTGGGTCTCTTCTGTGTCCCTAATTCTGAGATGGAAAGTCATGTCTGCAGGAGCATGTGGCAACTGATCCTGCACTGGCCCTCCACAAACTTGCTGGCCAGCCTCTCCCACAGCTCCCCCTGGTGTCTAGCTCTGCCAGCAGGCCCAAGGCTTTCCTTGCTCCTAGCTTGCCCTGGGTTCACAGAGCTGTGTGGAAGACAAAGAATCAGAGCAGCCACAGGAGGGTGATGCAGGAGCTGACCCGTGGGCTGCCCTTGAGGTCTGTACTTCAGCTCCCACTCATCACAGCTTACTGTTACAAGCCACTGGAGGGAAAACCACAACCACAGCAGGTCTGGGCCCCAGCCCTGAACCTGCATCCAGGCCACAGTGCTACCAGCACTGGGGAGTCGTGGTCTTTGTGGGCTGCCATGGACTACCCAAGAGTCATTCAGGAGTCAAATCACCTTGCCCCAAGTTTCTGGGACAAAAATGAAGGCAAAGGCGCCTGCCAGTGCTAATGCCCATTTGGCTCTCATTTGGAGTATCCAGACCTTAGAAAGGAAACAAGCTAGCATCTGCTGCCATCTCAGGGTGATCCTGAGAGAGGCTCTGGGCAACAGTGCCCATCTGCACAGGGAAGTCGGTCTGCCCACAGGCTGCTGTGTCTGTGCAGTGGTGGGAAGACTAGGGGTGAGGAGAACACAAAGGCAAGGTGTGCCCAGTATTTATAAACCCCATGCAAATAGGCCCAGGGTCACAGGCCCCAAAGGAAGGATACTGCCTGGGCCTCAGACTTTGCAGGCCCAGGGGACAGTGGGGGCTATCCTCACAGCATTCCATGGGGGAGCAGCGGGCCTTCCCCATTGTTGGGAGCTCTGAGCCTCTATGCTTTTGCTCTCCCATTCTGTCTATGAGGAAGAGACCAAAGGAAAGAGCCAAACAGCCAAGATGTCAATCTCAGCTCACCCGCTTCTGAGAATCTGTCCTGTCCAAGATGACAACATACTGCATTAGCCTTGTAATTATATTTGCACACTTTATCCCTGTGCAGCCCCAGGTAGGATTTTCTAGAGAAAGAAATCAAGGTTTCAAGAGGGTAAGTGACTTACTCAAGGTCACACAGTGGTAAGTGGTAAATAAAGGGTGGGAAGATTTGAACGCAGGCCTATTGGATGCTGCAGTTCTTTCTACACTCATCCTGTATCCTGGACTGGCCCTAGGCCTGCCCTCAAGGCCACTCCTCTCCTCTTGCACAGACACCTTAACTACTGTCTTTCCTCCATTTCTGAAAACATAAGCTGGCCTGGGTCCCTATCCTTGCCAGAAATCAGAAGCCTTGAGGTAAGGAAGGCAGTAGCTAAGTCACAGCAGACAGGTCACCTTTTCCAGAGCAGATAGAAACCTGTTTCCAGACAGCCCAAGGTATTGAGTGAAGCTAGCCTCAGTGTGACAAGGGAGGCACGGACTGGCAGCAGAATGGGCAGGCAGAGAGTGCTAGTCTGAGGTAGGCAGGTGTAGGTGGCAGAGGCTACATGAAGTAGGATCAGGGCTCCTCAGGGCTTTGCTCCCGGGTAGCTGTTGAAGAAGTCAGATGACCCACCAGGCGCTTCAGCTGATGTTTTCTTGAGCCTGTCCACACTTTCCCATAGCAGTCTGATCGAGGTCTCTCTTCTCATCCCCAGTCCCAGCCTTCCCCACTGGCCAGTGGAAAAAACCCTACGGCCTGTGAGACAGAACCAGACCAGGTAGAGGGAGCCTGTGGGATCTGAGACCTTTTATGCAGAACCTTGACCTTAGTTTTCAATGTACTACAAGGAGCTGGAGACATCTCCAAACGAGAGCTCCTGGTAGTACAGAGCTGGACTAGATGCCAGTGGCAGCAAAGTGATGCCCTCCTGGGGCTGTCACCCTACTCGGTATATAGGCCTGCGAGGGAGAGAAGAGCAGACACAGGTCTGCTCACGGGATGGGATGGATTGAGAGGTGCTGCGACAAGCAGAGTAGAAGAAGCTGGCCCTGCCGTCGTAAAGAACAGAGTCGGCATGAAGAACAACCAATCTGGGCCTGTGAACAGAAGCACCTGGGAGGCTGACCTCCATGGTGGAATTCCCAGACAGAACCAGGTCAAGGAGGCCATGGGCTTTCACAACTCAGAAAACAGGGCCAGCAGGAAGAGCAGAGAGATGGCCTCTACCAGAGCCCATGGTCTTAGGTAACAGCCAGGTTCCAGAGCAGGGAATGCCTTCCATGGGACTGGCCTCATGTCCTTGCCACCCCTTGAGACCATGTACTCTTCTTCCCTGACTCTTCAATACTCTTATTCCTCCCTGCTTTCAACCACAGCACCCTCTCTCAGCTGTGACCTTCCCACAGCATGGAACCTTCTCAGCTAGCACTGTTCCTAGAAGTCAGACACCTTAACCTGCCATTTAAGGCTTCCTACAC